AATTGACTGTCTTAACAGGCTTACAATTGACTGTCTTAACAGGCTTACAATTGACTGTCTTAACAGGCTTACAATTGACTGTCTTAACAGGCTTACAATTGACTGTCTTAACAGGCTTACAATTGACTGTCTTAACAGGCTTACAATTGACTGTCTTAACAGGCTTACAATTGACTGTCTTAACAGGCTTACAATTGACTGTCCTAACAGGCTTACAATTGACTGTCTTAACAGGCTTACAATTGACTGTCTTAACAGGCTTCCACAATACCTTGGATGACAACGCGTCCCTCGTGCTATTTTTAATTCCATTTTTTTTTTCTTATTTTAATATGAAAAGCAAATTAAATTCCTTCAAAATATTTCAATATTGATTAACAATATTGGTGTCACAGTGTCACTAGAAGAGAGAGGCCCCATAAGGCGCGAGGTCCCTTAGAGATGTGAGGCCCCCTAGAGGTGTGAGGCCCCTAGAGGCATTGGCTCCCCTAGAGGCATTGGGCCCCCTAGAGGCATTGGGCCCCCTAGAGGCATTGGGCCCCCTAGAGGCATTGGGCCCCCTAGAGGCATGAGGCCACCTAGAGGTTGGTGGTTAGTTAGAGGTGGGAGGCCCCCAGGAGGCATGAGGCCCCTAGAGGCGTGAGGCTCCCTAGAGGCGTGAGGCTCCCTAGAGGCCTGAGGCTCCCTAGAGGCTTGATGCTCCCTAGAGGCATTTGGCCCCCTAGAGTTGTGAGGCTCCCTAGAGTTGTGAGGCTCCCTAGAGGAGTGAGGCCCCCTATAGGCATTGGGCCCCCTAGAGACGTGAGGCCCCCTAGAGGCGTGAGGCCCTTTAGAGGCGTGAGGCCATGAGCAAGTGCCCAGTGTCCATATGCCTTGAGAGGGCACTGGGTTCACCAACTTTCTGTGCTTTAAAAGTTCGATAATTAATTATCTTATGCTACGCGGGGTCAAGTCCCCGGAACAAAATGAGAGTTACTTTGACAGTTCTAAAAAAAAATACATTTTCAACTGACACTGAGAATCTTATAAAATATAATGTCAATCTGACCTTTCCATATGAAACATTTGGGAAGCATCGTAAAACCGATAACCAGTTTAGAAAATGGAGTCTGAAATCGGATAACCGGTTTTGCAACATCAACAAAAAAAAAAAAATTAAAAATTAACATCACTAGCCTAGATAGGAAGTACGTTCAGTGCTGGATCAGCCTTATGAGCCATCCCATACATGACATCACATTTTGGTGCCGGATTTGACCTCCCTGCCTCCCCCCAAAAAAATCGTCACAGATTTAAAACACAAATGAGACACATAGTCACAAATGAGACCCTTTTATCACACATAGTCACAAATTAAACACTTTTATGACACAGTCACAAATGAGACACTTTTATGACACAGTCACAAATGAGACACTTTTATCACACACAGTCACAAATGAGACACTTATCACACATAGTCACAAAGGAGACACTTATCACACATAGTCACAAATGAGAAACTTATCACACATAGTCACAAATGAGACACTTATCACACATAGTCACAAATGAGACACTTATCACAAATAGTCACAAATTAGCCAGCCCCCCTTTCCCCCGACGCGGAACCCCGGTTTAGAAAAGGAAAGAAAACACGTGTCAAACCCCCCCCCCCCCCTTTTAGGGACCCAGTGACAAAAAAAATGATGCGATCTTGGACATAACTGTAATGACGCAATGAACATTTAACATACCTGTAATGACGCAATGAACATTTAACATACCTGTAATGACGCAATAAACATTTAACATGACCATATCGGACTTCTCTTTACTCTACGGATGGAATTAAAGGGAGACAATACATAATTAAGGGAAACAACATAAGCCAATGATTGCAGAGCATTCTGTCGTCAATGAAGCATATAAGAAAGTAAACTCTCTATAGCATGGTAAGTACATTGAGTCTCAACCTGTTACACATTAAAACAAACACACATTATAAAATTAAATATATTATTAAAATTACTATTAAAAATCCTTTTTTTTAAATTGTTTGTATTAGCAGTTTTAATACGTTTAACTTTAACTGCACGGCTAAGTATAAGGTCCTCACCATTACTAATGTTGCGGCCTTCACTAATGTTGCGTCCTTCTCCCGTTTACTGGGGCTTACAACCTCCGATGGTGACTACTGGGTGTCTAACCTCATGTCAGACCTGTATGGTCAATTCTTGTCTCTCTCTCTCTTGGTCAAGCAACTCAAACACCGACTAGTCCATTGTAAAGTATGTATTTATACACATGTACTGGAATATCCGCTTATTACAAAGCACAGTTGCTACTCAATTCATCCAGGAGAAGACTGCAATCCTCAGGCGACAAGCCATACAGTGAAACTAGCACACACAAAAAAAACCACTATATTTCTCGACTCTACTCTCACTAACTATCGCTTGCCTCTCCACTGTCTCTTAACTCTCGGCTCAGCTCACAACTAACTCAGTGTCACAGGATTGTGTCCACCCATCGAATGGTCATTCAGACACAACAATAACACGCATGACACAACTCACGGTCACAGGATTGTGTCCACCCATCGAATGGTCATTCAGACACAACAACAACACGCATGACACAACTCACGGTCACAGGATTGTGTCCACCCATCGAATGGTCATTCAGACACAACAACAACACGCATGACACAACTCACGGTCACAGGATTGTGTCCACCCATCGAATGGTCATTCAGACACAACAATAACACGCATGACACAACTCACGGTCACAGGATTGTGTCCACCCATCGAATGGTCATTCAGACACAACAATAACACGCATGACACAACTCACGGTCACAGGATTGTGTCCACCCATCGAATGGTCATTCAGACACAACAATAACACGCATGACACAACTCACGGTCACAGGATTGTGTCCACCCATCGAATGGTCATTCAGACACAACAATAACACGCATGACAACACGCATGATAACACGCATGACACAACTCACGGTCACAGGATTGTGTCCACCCATCGATTGGTCATTCAGACACAACAATAACACGCATGACAACACGCATGACAACACGCATGACAACACGCATGACAACACGCATGACAACACGCATGACACAACTCACGGTCCCAAACAGCGTTCATACTAACAACAGTGGTTCTCATACAAAACTGTCACCATCCATGGACAACGTACAACATTTCATACCAAAACTTCACGCCACTAAATCTAGTTCAAAATTAAATATATTATTAAAGTTACCATTAAAAATATCTTTTTGAAAATTGTTTTTATAAAAAGTTTTAAAACGTTTAACTGTAGGGCTCAGTTTAAGGTCCTCACCAGTAGGCCTACTATGAGTACTGAGAAATTAAAATATAATATGAATAATACTAGAATACTGCACTTTAAATCCAGTAGGCCACCTCTAGTAACATGGTAATTGTGATATGGGGTCGTTCGTAAATTACGTCACGCTAAAAATGACCTTTTTAGACCCCCACGTCACGGTGTGTCACAAATTCTTTACCCCCCCCCCACCCAGTTTCACATCACACCTAAAAAATGTCAAAACATACATACAATTTTCATAACTAAACTAAGATTTTATTTCATTCTTTAAAATTTTCCCATTTTGTATTAAGAGTTAGTATTATAAGAAAACTGAGTTTCATAGTAGGCCTACCTATAATACCTGATGCGATTTCGACCCCAATTTAATGTTTTTGAAATTAATTAAATAAATATTTTTTTTTCAAAATTAGACAAATTTAGATTTAAAAAAAAAAAAATTAAAAAAAAAGACCTGATGTCACATTTTTTTACAAGCCTGAGAGTTACGTAATTTGCGAATGACCCCTATGGTAATTATTATGGAAAGTAGGCCTACTTGAAATTTTCAAAATTTAAAGAAAGTAATGAAACTATACAGTTATTTATTTTGGGTCAGTGAATAACGACAGTAAATGTTAGCTTAAAAGATTGTTCATTAGTAATACTAATACACTTTTAGAGTTCACTGGAACTCAAAATAACGGATGTGAAGGCCATGCCTTTAAAATTAAAAAAAATTAAAAAATTAAGATATTTTTAAATCTAAGGGAAGTCACTCTAACGCACCATAACAAGAACGAAGTGCACAATTTGTTAGTAGCTTTTCCTTATTTGTATTTTACCACCTCTAGAGAAAAATTTTGGTAAGTAGTAAGGAATTTGTTCAGTTAGTTAGGCAATATCCAAACAATTCATTTAAATATGCACATAAATGGAAAGATACCGTTCTTTGATTTTGATGTAGTACTTGATACTGATACTGAGCATCATGGGCTTTTAGTACTAGTAGCAGTTACTCTGAGATAGTGAACTTGGACTTGGTTTAGTTAGTGTTGTCAGTTGTCTGCTTAGTCCGGAATTTTTAAAATAAAATAGTGCGTTAGAGTTAGTTACGGTTCAGGTAGCTAATGTTCGATAGTCTGATGCCTCACTCTCGGAAGGCAGGTACTCTCTAAAAATAAAGTTTAGGGCATATAAACATTTTAATATTTGGGATAATTTAAAACAAATTTTTTTTTATAAATTATAAAGTCAAAGTTTAAATTTTAAAGTTCCACTTGCCACGCCCACACTGACCGTGGCAAAGAGCCACCAAAAAACATGTTTCATTAGTTAAACTTGTCTTTAATTAAAGTATATTTAAATAAAGTTGCAGTGTCTGCCCTGCTATAATTAATAATTTAAATAATAATAATATAGCCACAACACTTAATTAACATCACTATACTATACTTATACTAAGTATAAGTAAGGATTAGTGAAAAAAAACAAGATGAATGAGAATGATTCATGAATATTAAATCATATATGGACCATTATCTGTGTCATTGTGGATAGTCTTATAAATTATTAGCTATAAGTTACTTATTAGTTATAAGCCATTACTCTAAAAATAACACACTGGTGAAAACATAGTCATTAAAAAAAAAAACGAAGTGTCTACACGTCCGGCGCGCCGGACGTGTAGTGCGCAAGATACACGTCCGGCGACTTGTCACGTGACCGCCGGACATGGCCGGACGGCTAGTAGTTTTTATAATTCCAAACGAAGTACGATTTAGTACATCTTGTCTGGTCTTGTGGTAGAGTGGTTGCTTGACGATAGGAATGTTTGAGGATCTATACCGGGGATAGGGTCGTTTTTTTTCTTCCCATTTTAATTAAAATATTTTGTATATATTTATATTATCATGTTCCTCAGCAACAGTAGTTTCATGAGAAGTTTTTAAATATTTTGTAGCAATTGAAATAATTTAAAATGAAATCTTTAACTTTTATTGGTTGCCACACTGGCCCCTAATTTATTTTATGGATTACTGGTACACAAAATCTAACAAACTAAACAAAAATGTTTACAAGCCACTTTCACTTAAGTTTCTTTTTCTATTATTTGCATTCAAGATACTCAGTACATTACTTGGTAGAGAAATAGATTTTAAAATTAACAATAGTTTTGAATTATTCGCAGTCACGTGACAAGGCTGACCGACACGATATCTCTCGCCACTTTGTTACGGCGGTCATGTGACTTGGTCGCCGGACACATAGTGCGGGAGATAGACGTCCGGCGCGTGTAGACACTGCCAAAAAAAAAATTCTGATATTAGCTCTATCTTATTTTAGTGACTACATCTAATTCTATCATTTACAATAGAGCCAAAATTATGGAACAGTTTGCCTCAATCTTTGAGGGGAATTTTAAATGATTAAAAATCATATAAGAAACAATTTAAAACTTTTTTGTTTAAATAGATTTTAGAGGACCAGAGCGCAGTGAGCATGCTAAAGTGGCATGGATACCAGCGCAATATAAATATCAAATCAATAATTATTATGCCATGCTTTCAGGAAATGTAAAAAAAAAAAATACAACCCATAGATATCACATTGTAGCCCTCTTTGGCTAATGATACTCAGCATCAGATTTCTCAATGGAGTAGGCCCCCATATTTCAATGGGATGACAAATTAAATCATATCTAACTTTGATAAGAAATTCAAATGACATTCTTACATTGTAAATAAATTATCCTAAATCATTTGAATTTTTTATTTTCAAAACCACTGTTGCAGTGTTATTACATACACAATATTTATAGATTAAACACTTCTAAAAATATTTCTGAAAAGAAGGGGCAGCAGAAAGGCAGTGACCTATGACCTATACATACAGTTCAGCTTGCTGTGTATCCATTTAAACCTTAAAATAAAAATGAGGAATTTTTTGTATTTTTTTTCATGTAATCATTTGTTTTCACTTCATCTGTTTAATTACCACCCCTTTTGTAAAATTAAAGTTGAGGTTAACATTTGTCACAAGACAGTCTTACGAAACAAAGCTGCTCCTATGTTTAATTTTTGTATCTCATTGTTGGTCGGCAGCCGACCATCTTCTTGGGTTGATGATGCAGCTTCTTTTTATTGACATGTCAATGGGTGACTCATCAGACCGATCCTGGAGTGGCAGTCTCTGCTGCATTTTTGGCTGGACAATTTGTCGGTTGGCTTAAAATGGCTAAACCATGGGCAAAACCATGTGAATTAAATTATCCTTACTTCCAAAAATAACTATTTCAGATACATTTAAATATTAAAACAGGGACAGAATTTCAAAACATGTGCCTTTTTCTTATTTTCCTTAATTGTGATTTATTTATGCAACTTTTCTAAATAACTGAGAATATTTTCATTTTCCCCAAGAGTATTGGACAACTACGAACATGGCTTCCAGGGGAACCCAAGAGACAACCAAACTAAAACATAACATGGAGGAGCAGTTAGACAGACTTATGCAGCAGTTGATAGATCTAGAGGAGTGCAGGTAGGCAGCAATGTAGCATATAGGTAGGTAGCAATGGAGCATATTGCAACTGAGGTTGACTCCCAAGCCGTTATTAGGATTTTGGGGGGCCCTAGTCATGGAGCCTAGGTAGGGGGCCCGGGAAGGTGGGATCCAGGGGGTGGAGCTCTCCTGGACCTGAGAAAACAACAGAAAAAAAGCGCCCGGTGAGGCCCCCTTGGCATGGGGTCCTAGGTGGTCACCTGGTTTGCCTATGCCTAAGAACGGTTATGTTGACTCCAACATGGTTTCTTGCTTTGCAGTTGTTCCATTGGGATCAATAAAATACTGTATTATTGTGGATGGCCATAGTGGGGGATCAATCTAGAATCTCAAAGAAACAGGTTTTATAAAAAATAAAATATCAAGCCAACAAAAAATAAAATCTTTTATTTTGAACAAAATATATTCATATAAACTTGTGTACATGGAGTCTAAGACACCATCTTAATGGACTGTAAAAAAAAAAGTCAAATAATTCTTTTGCATCTATTATTACATGTGATCAGGTGTGTTGTTTCTGCATAAAGAACTAAAAAGTTAAAATAATTTTTTGTAATTTTATATTTCACCCACCCACCACCCTTACCTAAATGTACTGTTCTCTTGACGTTCTTAATGCTGATATAACATATATACCAATGATATCCAGAGCCCAGGCAGCACCGTTCCAATCATTAAAAGTTGCTGATGGTACCACAATCGTTAGCTCAATATCTGAAGAGGAAAATTTATAAAACGACTTAGTTACAAACTTTATGAGTTGGCGTTAGGAAACATTTCGTCAGTTGATGTTTCAAAGACAAAAGACATTGTTGTTTATTTCCGGGGAAAGGGGGGGGGGGGGGGGGGGGGTATGGAAATTTCACAATAAAAAAAATCACAGAAAAGAGCAAGTAGAGACATTTATAAGAAACTAAGTGTCACCATTATTAATGAATTAACTTGGCATGAACATGCCAAAATTCTGTATAAAAAAGTAAACCAAAGAATTTTGGTGTAAATAAACAAGTTATTAACTTATTCTACAGTGCAACAATTGGAAGCCTACTAAACTTCAGTTTACCATGTTGCTCATTAGGACTTCATCGTCTGACATCAAACACAGATTAAATAGACTAATGAAGAAAGCTAGTAATATCACACAAAGTAAACATCCTTCACTTGAAGAACTATTTGAGAAAAAATGCTGTTGTAAACTAAACACATTTTTTGGATAATGCATCCCACCCATTTAATCATAGATACCTAAGATCACATCCCACCCTTTTCATCATAGATACCTAAGATCACATCCCACCCTTTTCATCACAGATACCTAAGATCAGCTTGATCAGGGTGAATTCCTTTCCATAAAGTTGATTTACCAGCATGCTCCCCCAGTGGTTACTATGATCACTAATTAAGTAACTGTTGTCACTAATGCAGTTAAGGTTTTTGGTATACTAGCCAATATATCTGGCTTTACTCTGGGTTTGTATTCGGAAAAAACTTCTAAAGCCTTATAAACGTGAATGTAATTTTAGTGCCCTGTCAAAACAATTCTCTAAAGTACCAGTTAAATTTTTAAAAAATTTACTATAAAAATCCACATTTATTATAAAACTTATAAACATTGAATTTGGGGCTAACCCCATTTCAATTGATATTAAAAGACAAATGTAATTTTTAAAAATTGTCTTATTAACAGATGTATTCATCAGAATCAAATCTACGGTTGCTTTTCAATTAAAATAAAATAATGGGGTTATTTTAGTTATCCATAAGATGGGTGCAGTGGCGTAGGCGTAGCTAGGGGTGTGCGGACCGCACTGGATGACACCAGCCCTAGCTACGCCACTGCATAAGGGCACTATAAAAATGATTTAGATAAATATTAAAGTTGATTTTTTAAATTTCTCCCCTTACAATCTGAAGGAATTTGCAAAGATGTTACCTTTAAAATTTTACTAATGTGGCCCAGGGCAGCAAAAAAACATACTCTTTAATGCTTTACAGCACTGAGTATTTTAGGCAGGATAATTTTAAAAAAACTTTATTTGTAATATGATATATCCCATCATATTTGGTAGTAAACTTTATTTGTAAAAATTTCCCATTTTATTAGGTAGAAAACTTTATTTGTAAAAATGTCCCATGATATTAGATAGAAAACTTTATATGTAAAATGTCCTGTGAAATTAGGTAGAAAACTTTATTTGTAAAAATGTCCCATCATATTAGCTAGAAAACGCCCAAGCTTAAGCTTTTTATTTAAATAAAATTTGGACCCTCCCAGCACAAAAAGATGGGGATATTTTTAGTTTGAAATCCACCTATATTTTATAAAGGATTATGGATTGTATGTTTACCAAGTTTGACCTAGATGCCACAATTGACATTGAAGCTTGAATTGTAACAAAACATCTTCTTGTTTAGCTTTAGTTATTAGAATGAAAATACACAGTGGAACCATCTACACTCACTCGAAACTATCGAGAAACTTCAAAAATGTCTTTAAATTTAATTTAATAACATTTGAAGAAACTCATGGAGACCTATGGAAACATAAGAAACATAAAAAGTATTTTTATATTACCTTAAAACCCTTTTTTAACAAAAATAGAACATTTTAAAATAAGGTAGAAAATTCAAGAAACTTAAACAAAAATTTTTTAAACTTGTGAAAGGTCAATCTTTTATATGATCATTGTTTCAATAATAAAGCTTCGAAAAAAAAAAGTCCCGTAACTCTAGACGTTTTCCATTAAAGTTTTAAAAACAGGAGTAGGGGTTGGGGACCCTTTCTAAAAGGTTTTAATTAAGATAGGGACCCTAAATAATTCATCCGATAAATAGTCAAGTTAAAAATGTAAAAGCAGTCCCATTAAAATCTGTTGAAAAATGTAAGAGATACAGTGTTCATCAGGAAAATGATATTAGGGACCTTGATCCCAACAGGGGTGAATATTATGAGTTTAAAATCCTCCAGTATTTAAATATGCATTTTTACCAAGTTTGGTCTAGATATATCAAATTAATTGTAATTTTATTTATATAGCTCATAGAAAAAAATGAAATTTGGGCCCCCAACCAATGTTCCCTTTAAGCTGCACGGCTGTGCACAACTGTATGATTTTCCACACGAACCAGCAAACCTTAGAGGGATCATTGCCCCCAACCCTGAACGGGATATTAAAAAAAAAAATTTAAAACACTGTCAACATTTCCTTCTGGATAAGGAAGTGAAACAACTACGTATCCCAAGTTTGATCTATTAATCCATGTATAAATGTATGCAGTACAGACTTATCTTCTCATGCATATAGTAGATACATCTTTTATCAGAAAGATACATGGATAAACATTTGAAATCTTATTAAGAGATTTAAATTACCATTTTTAAAAATTTCGTACATACATCTAATTTAAAACTCTTTGTTTACACATTGATGAATATTGGTCGGTATCATGTTTTATGTTTTTTTTATGTTCAGTATTTTGCACCGTTTTTAACTGTAACAATTCTTTGTCATTAACTGTAACAATACTTTATCATTAACTTTAACAATACTTTGTCATTAACTGTAACAATACTTTGTCATTAACTGTAACAATACTTTGTCATTAACTGTAACAATACTTTGTCATTAACTGTAATAATTCTTTGTCATTAACTGTAACAATACTTTGTCATTAACTGTAACAATACTTTGTCATTAACTGTAACAATACTTTGTCATTAACTGATACAAGTAAGAAATCTAGACATAAACTTATATTTTATGGCATTTAATAAGATTATAATGAATGTAAAACATGTAAATATTTAATTAAAAAAGATCAATCTACTATGGACTTAAATTGTTTGGTGTGTAACAAATTGTGCCACTCAGACACTGTGCCACTCAGACACTGTGCCACTCAGACACTGTGCCATTCAGACACTGTGCCATTCAGACACTGTGCCATTCAGACATTGTGCCACTCAGACATTGTGCCACTCAGACACTGTGCCACTCAGACACTGTGCCACTCAGACACTGTGCCACTCAGACATTGTGCCACTCAGACAAGACAATGTGCCATTCAGACACTGTGACATTCAGACACTGTGCCATTCAGACATTGTGCCACTCAGACATTGTGCCACTCAGACACTGTGCCACTCAGACACTGTGCCACTCAGACACTGTGCCACTCAGACATTGTGCCACTCAGACACTGTGCCATTCAGACATTGTGCCATTCAGACATTGTGCCATTCAGACACTGTGCCACTCAGACACTGTGCCACTCAGACACTGTGCCACTCAGACATTGTGCCACTCAGACATTGTGCCATTCAGACATTGTGCCACTCAGACATTTTGCCACTCAGACATTGTGCCACTCAGACATTTTGATATGTCCATCAAATGCACCCACCCATTCAGTGATGTAGTTTTACGGATTTGAAAAGCTGATTTGGAGCTAATTCACAAACTTGCCATTCTCCCTTCCCCATGCGCTCCTCCTTTATAAAGTTATAATTGGCCACGAACTATGTGACAATTCTAATCTAATGTTCACCCTCACTTATCACATGCAAGAAACTGTTGTTTCTCAATTGAAAAAAGTTATTTCAAATATTTCTGAAAGCCAATAGAATAAAGCTTTATTTCAAATATTTCTGAAAGCCAATAGAATAAAGCTTTATTTCAAATATTTCTGAAAGCCAATAGAATAAAGCTTTATTTCAAATGTTTCTGAAAGCCAATAGAATAAAGCTTTATTTCAAATATTTCTGAAAGCCAATAGAATAAAGCTTTATTTCAAATGTTTCTGAAAGCCAATAGAATAAAGCTTTATTTCAAATATTTCTGAAAGCCAATAGAATAAAGCTTTATTTCAAATGTTTCTGAAAGCCAATAGAATAAAGCTTTATTTCAAATGTTTCTGAAAGCCAATAGAATAAAGCTTTATTTCAAATATTTCTGAAAGCCAATAGAATAAAGCTTTATTTCAAATGTTTCTGAAAGCCAATAGAATAAAGCTTTATTTCAAATATTTCTGAAAGCCAATAGAATAAAGCTTTATTTCAAATGTTTCTGAAAGCCAATAGAATAAAGCTTTATTTCAAATGTTTCCGAAAGCCAATAGAATAAAGCTTTATTTCAAATGTTTCTGAAAGCCAATAGAATAAAGCTTTATTTCAAATGTTTGCACCCAACAAAAGGGCTTGAAACCCTTCATTTAATTCATTAATACATGTTTGAAAATGCTCTGTTCTGAATAAAATCTTATTAAAAATTCATACATCCATAATAATTTAAATTGAAAGTCCCTCATAGTCATTTAGAAATTATTATTTTTAACTCTTTACTCTCTACATTTTACGATTTTTAAAATTATGTCTTTTGGTGTTAGGAGATTATGGTGAAACTTTCCTTGAATTATCTGTAGTAGGTCAGGGCCATCTTTCGGTCAGGAGAAATGACCTTGTTAAATTTAGTAGTAGTCCATTGTTTGGTTTTCTTGTGATTGATCAACTCATCTACAAACATAGTCACACTGAGCTGTCCCCAGTAAGGGATGGCTGATTTTTGAGCTACATAAATACTTTCAGATTTCTTTTGTTTAAATTTTTCTAATTGTAAAATGTTGTCCCGGTTAAAAGATAAATTTATTTATGAAATTGAATATGTACAACGTAATAAAAATACAGACGTTTCTAGTTATATGTATTAATAAAAGAATCTTATCCTATCTCATGCTACAAAGCCGGTTGTATTTCCAGGAGTGACCTTGAACCAGAAGAGTATGAGGAGACCAAAAAGGAAACAGTCGAGCAATTAAAAGAATTTCAGGAAAATTTGAACAAAATGGTTGAAGGGAACCTGAGCCTGGTCGACCAGCTGAATGGGATGCAATTGGTAAATGTGTACATTTGTAAATGTTTGGTAAATCACTTTGGTAAATGATGTTAGTATGTGACTTTGGTAAATCATAATTGGTAAATCACGCTGGTAAATGACTTTGGTGTATCACTTTGGTAATTCACTTTGGAAATGACTTTGGTAAATGACGTTGGATCCAGTCATAAATTGGACAAAATATTCTCAATTAATCTTTTGCCTGACAATTTACCTGAACATTGTTAACAAAAACCATTATTTGATTTTACTTCATTTTTGTTTCACATCTTTGACCCAAATAATCTCCCTCCCCAGGCTATTCAAGCGGCCATCAGTGAAGCTTTTAAGACCCCAGAAGTGATACGTTTGTTTGCCAAAAAACAACCTGGACAGTTGAGATCAAGATTGGCGGATGTAAGTATGCTTCATCTTAAACATTTCTCAGTCTTCTATTGTCTGACACATTTTTCTTTGGCTTTCACCAACTATAGAATGACTTTATATGGACAAAAATTGTAATGAGTTCCAAAAGATTCTTTTAAAAAATTTTTTTTTAGATGGCCAAAACGGTGGGCATTCTACTTATTCATCCAAATGGATGCTGACTTAAAACTTCATTGGTTAACTTTCTTTTTTTACTAAGGGTTATCTCCACCTGTAAAAATAATAAGAATCCTTGTTTTGGGCTGATGAGTCTAATCCGGCCGGCTATAAGCCTGTAGCTGGGGACAGTCCTAGAAAAATTCAAACCCACTCCCAGTTGACTGAGTCAGATGTGCCGCTACTGTAGGCCTACAACACCCCTGTTAACTGTGAAACAGATGTGCCTACAACAGGGCCAGAGTTTTAGTAATGGAAAGGGAAAATAAATCTTGAAGTAGATGGACAGCATCTTCATGAGTGTGTGCAAACATATTTTATTGAGAATGGATTTGGAGTTTTTAAAACCTTTTCTTTGAAAGTTTTATTCCACTCCAACTAAGGCACAAACTTTTGTGTCAATAATACTATTTACATATTGTTTGTGTGTTAATAATTTTCTTTAACCTGATATGATTTATTTTGAAATTGATATATCTTTTTAGCTTGATATGATTTCTTTAACTTGATATATATTTTTAACTTGATATAATTTCTTTTTAACTTGATATGATTTCTTTAACTTGATATATATTTTTAACTTGATATGATTTCTTTTTAACTTGATATGATTTATTTTTAACTTGATATAATTTCTTTTTAACTTGATATGATATCTTTTTAACTTGATATGATTTATTTTTAACTTGATATAATTTCTTTTTAACTTGATATGATATCTTTTTAACTTGATATATCTTTTTAACTTGATATGATTTATTTTTAACTTGATATAATTTCTTTTTAACTTGATATGATATCTTTTTAACTTGATATGATATCTTTTTAACTTGATATGATTTATTTTTGCTCCAGCTTCTTCTACTGTCATGACATTTTTTTCAATGGTTGAACTTTTGAAAATCTTTGTTAAATATGAGTTTCTAGCATTGACCTGTTTTATTGTTGATAGATCAGACGAGATGAAAAGATCGGAAAACTGCCCAAAGATCTGGCCATCCAGCAGTCTGTGGAGATTTTGACAGCCCTTAAAAAACTGGGGGAGACTTTAACATCGGAGGAGGTGGCCTACCTGCAGCTGAACTCTTCAGGAAGTCTCAAGGAGTTTGAACGAGTTTCAGCAGACATAGGTCAAGTGTTGTAGTTAATACAATTATATTTATGGGGGTCATCTCAGTTACACAGGCACGGTCAATAAGTCAGAGGAAAGGCCTGGTCCATAAGTCAGAGGAAAGGCCTGGTCCATAAGTCAGAGGAAAGGCCTGGTCCTTAAATCAGGGAAAGGCCTGGTTCTTAAGTCAGAGGCAAGGCCTGGTCCTTAAGTCACAGGAAAGGCCTGGTTCTTAAGTCAGAGGCAAGGCCTGGTCCATAAGTCAGACGCAAGGCCTGGTCCTTAAGTGAGAGGCAAGCATGGTCCATTAATGATGGGCAACGATTGGCCATTAAATCAGGGCCAAAATGTTGTCAGTAAATCAAGAGCAGGCATTTATAGGAATCTGATTTATTTCATGTAACTTACATTGCTGTTTCCAAAAAGGAAATATTGAAAAAATTTAACAAGGAATATGGTAGATTATCTACAAATAAATTCTGAACTATCGTGTACAAAGTACATGTAAAAGTGTACCGTAATACCAATGGATGATTGTGTTAAAATTGGAGTGTTCATTATTATTTTTTTTCTGCCCTGTTGGTTTGTTCCAGCTTAGTGTAATATCTTAATTTTATGTGACATCCAAGTTTTATGTGATATCTTAAGTTTTACGTGACATCCAAGTTTTATGTGACATCCAAGTTTTATGTGACATCCAAGTTTTATGTGACATCCAAGTTTTATGTGACATCTTAAGTTTTATGTGACATCTTAAGTTTTATGTGACATCTTAAGTTTTATGTGACATCTTAAGTTTTATGTGACATCTTAAGTTTTATGTGACATCTTAAGTTTTATGTGACATCCAAGTTTTATGTGACATCTTAAGTTTTATGTGACATCCAAGTTTTATGTGACATCTTAAGTTTTATGTGACATCTTAAGTTTTATGTGACATCTTAAGTTTTATGTGACATCCAAGTTTTATGTGACATCTTAAGTTTTATGTGACATCTTAAGTTTTATGTGACATCCAAGTTTTATGTGACATCTTAAGTTTTATGTGACATCTTAAGTTTTATGCGACATCTTACGTTTCATGTGACATCTTAAGTTTTGTGTGACATCTTAAGTTTTATGTGACATCTTAAGTTTTATGTGACATCTTAAGTTTCAGATGATTCACACTTTAACTTTTAATATTCTTGTTCCTTCAGGATCAGGTGAAAAAGTTCTGGCCGTAGCAGGGACTCAAGTTGAAATGGCCAGCAAATGACCATCTGTCAAACTACAAACCAATGCCATCTCTTTGCTACAAGACAAATGTTGTTTCCAAAATAAGGATTTTGTTATGTAAATTTGAATATTGCTGCCATTATTTGATGTACACTTGAGTGATGATTCTCATGTTGTAGTATGTATGTTATTTGCATCAATTTAAATTTAATATTAGGTACCTGCCATGCTAGAGTGAGAATACCTGTAACTGAATAAACAACTATATAATGCCATATAATTTTGTTGTAGTGATAAGTTTTCAAAATAATAATTTACAGACAACACAAGGGTAGTCTTCTTGTGAAACCTTGCTGTTTGGGAACCTATGGTGGGCAAGGGCAAACATTTTACAAACAGAATATTTCCCTCCTTTGATAGTATACTTTTTATAACAGAATATTTCCCTCCCTTGATAGCAAACATTTTACAAACAAAATATTTCCCTCCTTTGGTAGCAAACATTTTACAAACAAAATATTTCCCTCCTTTGATAGCAAACATTTTACAAACAAAATATTTCCCTCCTTTGATAGCAAACATTTTACAAACAAAATATTTCCCTCCTTTGATAGCAAACATTTTACAAACAGAATATTTCCCTCTTTTGATAGCAAACATTTTACAAACGGAATATTTCCCTCCTTTGATAGCAAACATTTTACAAACAGAATATTTCCCTCTTTTGATAGCAAACATTTTACAAACGGAATATTTCCCTCCTTTGATAGCAAACATTTTACAAACAGAATATTTCCCTCTTTTGATAGCAAACATTTTACAAACGGAATATTTCCCTCCTTTGATAGCAAACATTTTACAAACAGAATATTTCCAAAAAAAAAACCCCCCCCCCCCCCCCCCCCACTCTACTTTCTTAATTTAAAAAAAATTAAGTTATTTTTTGTTGTTGCTTTTCCTGACCGTTACCTGGGTAGGACACTGTAACCTCTTGGTTGTGAGTGAGACAGACAATGCTAACATGGGTCAGTAGGAGTAGGTGGGTCTTAAGGAGTGGGTCTGTCTGTGGGAGTGAGTGGGTCTGTGGGAGTAAGCAGGTCTATGGGAGTGAGTAGGTCTGAAGAAGTGAGTGGGTCTGTGGGAGTGAGTGCGAGTTACTTGACTAGATGTAGGTTATTCTTCTTTGAAAACCAATTTCTCAAACAGAATGAATGCTATCTTTAACCATTTATTTTTCTTGGCAAGAGAGACAACCCCCATGTTCCATGTCGTCAAACTGAGTTGAGTCACTTTTGTTTACTTTCAGTAGCTCAATGTAAACATGTCTACCAGCTGTGAGGGTGTGCCTTGCAGAGAAACAATGATGAAAAATTGTTACCATTTGGCTATATATATTTTGTTGTTTATTTTTATCCCCACTCAATTCCATAGTTTCATGATGGCTCTGTATAGACTGAAGAAAACCAGATCTTCAATAAGTCACATCTTCAATATGACTTTCTTCAGGACTCCATCACAGTGAGAGATTTCTGTCCCATCTACACCATCCCCATTGTATGTTCTTAGTTTTGGGAATTAAAAGATGCAAGAAGTGGTGACACTTTTAATTAAGATTCACAAAATATTTCTGTGCTTTGCTGCAACCTACACTTTTTCATCAGATAAAAATATCTTAAAAAATCTCTGTAATGAGGCATGTTAGCAAAATGTACAGGGAACATAGTTTTATGTCATCAGTAAACCTTCTCCATTCCTGTGTACACTCTACATGTCTTGTGATCCACCCTCTGAATTGTAACTTAGTTTGAAGGCTCTTTTGGGCAGGGTTATTTAATCAGAACACCGATTTCTGTACAATACAATGGCTTTCTATACAACACATGGCTTTTCTATACAATACAATGGCTTTCTATACAATACATGGCTTTTCTATACAACACATGGCTTTCTAATGGTGTGAAACTTGTTTGTCTGAAATGTTTTATTTCAAATCTTATTATTTGATATAAGCTAGGTGTTTTTTTTTTGGTTTCCTTTTATATTTATATTATCTATTTACCCAGAGGTGTACTGATCATTAGTCAGGACACGGCTGCCATGTACTTATGGTGTGTCAGGACACAGCTGCCATGTACTGATGTGTGTCAGGACACGGCTGCCATGTACTGATGGTGTTTCAAGAGACGGCTGCCATTTGATGTGGGGTGGTAAATCTCCGATAAATAATTTGTGTACCTGGTTTCTCAATCAATTTTATGTCTTGCCGTTGGCACCATATGTACACCGTACGCCTCAGTATAGACCACAGGGTACGGAAAATGGACCTTAGGGAATAAATTATACAATGTAATCCTAAATACATGTAAAGCCATCTGACAATACAGGACTACACAAACACATTGTGTCAATAGCCATCTGACGATACAGGAATACACAAACACATTGTCATTTCTATTCATATAAAACGTTTCTTAAATTGACATTATTTTACACGTTGCCTCTTATTGAAAGATACCAAAGAATACAAGGGCAGTGAATAGATTATGTACGTTATTTAAATCTATTACTTCATTCATGTCATGGTGCTATCCAATGTCAACAAAGTAAATGTGGATGTCCATAATTTTGCCTCGTTAAACTGTCTCCATTATTGTGATTAACATTTATGCAGCAGATGGCAAGCAAAGTCCTTCGTACTTCATCATTAGGAAAATTATTTCATATTTTACGAAATCCCAGTAAGCTGAAATTGATCCACCTAAATGAAAGACCCTTACCTCTGGTTAATTGGCACAACTATAAAAAACTGAACATATTTTACGAAGCTGCAGTCTTATTTATATATTTCTTCTTTTGCTATGAAATTATGGGCTACCTATGTAAAAAATCACTGAGAACATAAATATGCTTCCACAATCCAACAAACTTTTTATGTTTCATATTTTCCATCTTTCTTATGTGCAATAAATCAATACGATCAAAATGCCATCTTGATTTTATTTCCATTACTTACTGTCTTGGGCTTTTATTTTGGATGGTAGTTTACTCTACTCCATGTGATGACATTTGGAGATAGAAAGTTGATTCGTGTCTCTGTATAAAAATGTTTTTAACTTGAGGTTGTGCCCTGACCCTCTGAGGCACATCATCTTACTTCCTGTGCTACGTGGTCTAGGCAATGCTAAGGAAGCTCATATTTCAACCTGACTTGCAACTTGAGAAGGGTGTGTGGTGTACAAATCTTGGCAACTGAGAGGGTGTGTGGTGTACAAATCTTGGCAACTGAGAGGGTGTGAGGTGTACAAATCTTGGCAACTGAGAGGGTGTGTGGTGTACAAATATTGGCAACTGAGAGGGTGTGTGGTGTACAAATATTGGCAACTGAGAGGGTGTGGTGTACAAATATTGGCAACTGAGAGGGTGTGTGGTGTACAAATATTGGCAACTGAGAGGGTGTGTGGTGTACAAATATTGGCAACTGAGAGGGTGTGTGGTGTACAAATATTGGCAACTGAGAGGGTGTGTGGTCTACAAATATTGGCAACTGAGAGGGTGTGTGGTCTACAAATATTGGCAACAGAGTGTGTGTGGTCTACAAATATTGGCAACTGAGAGGGTGTGTGGTGTACAAATATTGGCAACTGAGAGGGTGTGTGGTGTACAAATAAGGAAACTTTGCCATTTTTATAAGGGATATATCATGTCATGCATCTTATGTTGTCACATGACACATCTTGAGTTCTCAAATGACACATCTTATGTTGTCACATGACAATAATAAACCATGTAATGAACAACAAAAAGAAATTTAGTTTTTAAAAATTATGTTTTATTTCATAGTATACAAATTTTTAAAACTTTTGAAATCAATGTGGTTGAAAGAAATCAATGAATCAATAAAAATCTGTGGTTCTCAGCCTGTGTTTTATGTCACAAGGTTTTTATATAAATGAATAAAAAAATATATAAAAAAATCTTCCAGGTCATTTCCTGGCAAAGTAACATGAGATCTATGATACATGCTCATCAGTAAATAGTTATATTTCCTTCCATTTCCTGGCAAAGTAACATGAGATCTATGATACATGCTAATCAGTAAATAATAATATTTCCTTCCATTTCCTAGCAAAGTAACATGAGATCTATGATACATGCTCATCAGTAAATAATATTTCCTTCTTAAACTGCCAACATTTCCTGGCAAAGTAACATGAGATCTATGATACATGCTCATCAGTAAATAATAATATTTCATTCTTAAACTGCCAACATTTCCTGGCAAAGTAACATGAGATCTATGATACATGCTCATCAGTAAATAGTTATATTTCCTTCTTAAACTGCCAACATTTGTCAATACCTTAGAGGTCTGCTGTCTAAATCTCATAATTTTTATCATTATTTGTGCTGCAAAATAACAATAAAGTGGAAAAGTGTGGTCTTTAATAATTTATATAAATCCATAATTTGGTGGACCCATGCAAACATAGTGATCAACTTGGTGTGTCAATGGAGAAGGTCACAATGAATGCGTACAATTCTTATGTTAAGTTTACCCAGCACATATGGATGAGTCATCATTTAAAACAGTATGACCAAACACAGCATTATTTATTGATTGCCGTAGTGATGGGGAAATGGAAAACCAAAATCTCGAACGTGATCAGTCAAAAAAACAAATAAACATTTGTGAATGACGGTTAAAAAAAAAGTGTTTTCAATCGATATCACAGACGATGTAAGAGGAAAATGTGATTATTAAAGTTTGTCTCAACAAGATTTGCAGCTATTGCTCCATTGCTAAAAATTTATATTTAAAAAAAATCATTGCAACAATTCATAATACTACATTGGATAAATAGAAATAGAGACATGAAAATAATTTTGACATTTCATGACAACTAAATAAGAAGTGACTTCAAATATTTAAAAAAACCAAAAAACTACAACTGGCTCTTGTTTCATTATGAATAAATATGTTGTTTACAGAACACTATACAAATAACTGGATACAATAAATAGGCCTACAAGATAACTTGCAAGATTGCTAACAAACAGACCCAATATGTGATCATGCAGTTGGACATGGAGATGACATTGCTAACAAACAGACCAATATGTGATCATGCAGTTGGACATGGCGATGACATAGGAGCCGCTAACTACTAAAGAAGTGCAGGATTGCTAACAAATAAGATGTAACAAAATATGACATTGATTGAATCCAGGGATATTTTTTATAAACACCGATACCAAAATCTAGACTCAATTAAAAGCGTTTCTAACAAAAATATTTTGTTCAACTTAGCTTTTAAAGGTATTTGATTTTAATGTCATGATTATGTCTCTTTTGATAATATTTTTATGTACACCGCGGTGAGCCCAGCCCTAGGATGGGGTACCGCGCTATAAAAGACCACTAATTTTTATTAATATTATTATTTAACCGCAGAAAGTTTAAAGGTTACAAATTAGGGTCAGACTTTATGAGAGCCTGCTGAAACATTGAATTTCAGAGCGAAAATAAAAATGTTACATTTAAAAAAATAATTTTTCAAAAACTGTTTTGTCTTTCTCATAAATTCTCTTCTCCTCTCTTCATCTGTCATATTTTTCACACACCTTGTTTCTCCAAATATAAAAACTAACTTGATTAAAAATAAGAATTA